TGTAGTAGGAGTAATGAATAAAAGCTGAAATAATAAGGCAATGAGAACACAGAATGACATAAATTAAAATTTCAGAATTATAATTCTGGTGATGAAGTCCAGGAATAGGCAGCTGGACACTTCATAGAAATGGAATCATACTTAAATAATATGCAACCTGCCGAAACTGGTTTGGCTCAATGGATAGAGCGTTGGTCTGTGGACTGAAAGGTCCCAGGTTTGATTCTGGTCAAGGGCATGTACATTGGTTGTGGGTGTGTAGGAAACAGCTGGTCGATGTTTCTCTCTCATCGATGTTTCTAGCTTTCTATCCCTCACCCTTCCTCTCTGTAAAAAAATCAATAAAATAAAATAAAATAATAATAATAAGAATGGAACTCACTCCACAGTCTCTCAATTGTTGAAGACACTCTTTTATTAAAACACACACACACACACACACACACACACACACACACAAAACAATATGCAACCTCTTGTGATTCATTTTTATTTATTTTTAAAAAAATATATTTTATTGATTTTGTACAGAGAAATAGAGAGTTAGAAACATCGATGAGAGAGAGTCATCGATCAGTTGCCTCTTGCACACCCCCTACTGGGGATGTGCCCACAACCAAGGTACATGCCCTTGACCGGAATTGAATCCAGGACCTTTCAGTCCCCAAGCTGACGCTCTATCCATTGAGCCAAACCGGTTTCGGCAACTTTTTTTTTTTTTTTTTTTTTTACATAGCATAAAGTTCTTGCATGTATCAGTTCCCTTTTATTGCTGTATAATAAACCATTTTCTAGATATACCACATTTTATTTAGCCATTCATCAGTCAATGGACATTTGTTTTCACTTTTTACCTGTGATGAACATTCATAGACAAGTTTTTGTATAAACGTGTCTAAATTTATCTTGAATGTACACATAGGAATGGAGTCACTGGGTCATATAGCAATTCTATGTTTATAATTTTAAGGAAAAGACAGACTATTTTCCAAAGCAGCTCTACCAATTTATACTCCCATCAGTTTTTTTCACATCATTGCCAGCACTTTGTATTATACGTCTGCTTGATTATAGCCATCTAAAGGGTGTGTGAAGTGATATCTCATTGTGTGTATGTGTTTGTGTATGTGTTTCCCTAATGACTATGATGCTAATCATCTTTTCATTAACTTAATAGCCACTCATATGTCTTCTTTGGAGAAATGGCTAATCAAATGCTTTGCCCATTTTAATTGGGTGTTTACTTAAACATTTTTTTTATTGGTTTTCAGAGAGGTGAAGGGAGAAAAACATCTATGTGAGAGTGTAGCATCAATTGACTGCTTCCTGCATGCCCTCTACTAAGGATTAAGTCCCCAACCCAGGCATGTGTCTGGGAATCGAATCGGCAGCCTTTCAGTGCACATGTTGATGTGCCACAGCAGCCAGGGTAGGAGTTTATTATTTTATTATAAACTTGTAGAGTTCTGTATATAATCTGGATACAAGTCCTTTATCAGATACACGATTTGCAAATATTTTCTCCCATTCCAATCTTTATTTTTTTGATGGTATCTTTTACAATACAAAAGTTTACATGTTTATATAGTCTAATTTATTTTTCTTTTGTTATCTATGTTTTTGCTATTGTATCTAAGAAGGCTTTGCCTAACACAGGGTCATGACGATTTATCTTATGTTTATTTATTTATTTATTTATTTATTATTATTATTATTTTAAAAATATATTTTATTGATTTTTTTTTTTTTTTTTTTTTTTTTTTTACAGAAAGGAGGGGAGAGGGATAGAGAGTTAGAAACATCCATGAGAGAGTAACATCGATCAGCTGCCTCTTGCACGCCCCCTACTAGGGATATGCCTGAAACCAAGGTACATGCCCTTGACTGGAATCGAACCGGGACCCTTCAGTCCATAGGCCGATGCTCTATCCACTGAGCCAAACCAGTTAGGGTTACTCTTATGTTTTTTTTTTTTTTTTTTTTTTTTTTTTTTTTTAAATTTTATAGTTTAGCTATTACATTTAGGCCTCTGTTCCATTTTGAGTTAATTTACCATATAGTGTAAGATAGGAGTTCAACTCAATTCTTTTGAATTAAAAAAAATTGTGAATATGTATTATACACCTACTACTCTAATATTCTTGAAAGCTTGGACCAAGTTCTTTGTCTTTGTATTTTCCATAAAACCAATGAATAAATTCCTCCCCCCCGAATTAGATTTTGAGAATGATATGGATATTTTTTATTTTAATTTTAAAGGTAATTATATAGATATGGTATAAACTTCAAATAAGACAAAAGGATATATAGTAAAAAATGTGTACCTTTCATGCCTAACCCTGTCTCCCAAACCTCTTAGAATTAACAACTATAACCACCAATAATTTTCTATATTTACACTTGTACACACTAAGAACAGAATCCAAAGTCCTTTTTTAAAGAGAAGCAAGGTCACTCTTTTTGGGGAACAGGTACTCCTTTATTTTATTTTTTTTCTTTGTGAATTTTCTTTTATTGGGACATAGGGGGTGGGTAACTGTGGTTATACCCCACTAGGGTACTGTCCATTCTAATCCTCCTGGGCCAGCTTTAGCTTTTTCTTTTTCTTTGAGCTCTTGTTGCTAACAGCCTCTTCAGGTGCGCTGCTGAGAGGTCCCTCTTTCAAATATTTTTTATTTTTTATTTTTTTTTAATTTTAATTTCAATGTCCTTGACCGGAATTGAACCCGGGACCCTTCAGTCCCCAAGCCGATGCTCTATCCACTGAGCCAAACCGGTCCCGGCAAATATTTTTTATTTTTACTTAAGAAATATTTTATTGATATTTTATAGAGATGAAGGAAGAGGGATAGAGAGTTAGAAACATTGATCAGCTGCCTCCTGCACACCCCCTACTGGGGATGTACCCAATACTAAGGTACATGCCCTTGACGAGAATCAAACCTGGGACCTTTCAATCCACAGGTCGACACTCTATCCACTGAGCCAAATTGGTTTCGGTGAGTCCAAAGTCTTTACCATGGCCTACAAGGTCTCCTAGATCTGGCCTCTAGGGCCACCTTGTCAACTTCATCTCCTTCCATACTCTTTCTTATTCATTTGACTCAAACCACAATAACACCTTGCTCTTCCTGGGAAGACCAAGCATTCTCCATGTTGGGGTCTTGGTACTTGGAAAAGGATGCTGTTTTCCAAGATATTGACATGGGTCACTCTTTCATTGACATGGGCCAGATTCTCATTTCATTCATACTTCTGATCAAATTCAGTGAGGTTTTGCCTGATCATCTTATTTATAATAGCACCTTGCCTTCTCTTCTTTTATTCTTATCTTGCTTAGCATTTATCAATACCCGACATCGGATTATATTTGTTTGTCTATTGTTTCTCTCCCTTTACGGAACTTTATTTTCTACTGTATCTTCAGCATCTAGATCTGAGCCTGAATCATGATTAAGTGCTCAGCAAATATATATATATATATATATATATATATATATATATATATATATATAAAATTATAATAAATGACTGAATTTTAATGTGATGCCTCTAAGGAAGTACTAAAATTCTGAGGGGCAGAGACAGTGTAAAGAGAGAGGTGAAATGTAGTGAGGGAGAGAGAACTTTGAGAAAACCATGGAAATTGCTGGGGCTTCATGCTGAATTTTTAGGGTACAAGGAGCTCATGAGCCCTGGTGGTGGTGACTTCGGTGTCAGGCCTCTTTATTCCAAATTTATCCACCATCCCAGGTAGCCTAAATGTCTCCGTGAAGGACCCATCCTACATCGTGAGCTCTCAGTTCTTTAAAGGCATCCACTCGAGATTTTCACCTCCACTTCATTTCAGCCACCTTCTTCCATAGCCACCCCCTGCACGTTGTCATCATTCCGAACAGTTCTAACCCTAAACCTTAAATTAAAAAATACCAATATGACCATTTTCTTATCCTTTAAACTCTCATTCAGCTTTGCTCATTACATTTTCTTTTACTCATTTGCCCTTTCTTCTTTCCTAACAACCTCTTCCTCTCTTTATAGTCTTCACTCTATAGATTTCCTGGTCTATCACTCAAACCTCTCTCTTGACAATGTCATCACCTTCTTTTAAGGGAGCTCCCAAAATCCTGGACTTTTAACCCCAGTGAAAAGGGGGATCTTTTCGGGAGTGAGGTCTGGGAAGGAGGGGTTCTGATCAGAGGACGCTGAGTACTGAGGCTGGTTGGGGTAGGGGTTGAAGAGAGAGCTATGAAAACTCCGAACCCAGAGGTCAGGGAAGGCCGGTGTTGCAGAGGACTTCAGCCTCGGTGAGTGTCGGGTGTGTGTGTGTGTGTGTGTGTGTGTGTGTGTGTGTGTGGGGTGTTTGGGAGAGGGAGGGAGGGAGGGAGGGAGGGAGGGAGGGAGAGAGAGAGAGAGAGAGAGAGAGAGAGAGAGAGAGAGAGAGAGATGGGGGAGGGAGGGAAGGAGAGAGAGAGAGAAAGAGAAAGAGAAAGGGGGGAGGGAAGGAGAGAGAGAGAGAGAGATGGGGGGAGGGAGGGAAGGAGAGAGAGAAAGAGAAAAAGAAAAGGGGGGAGGGAAGGAGAGAGAGAGAGAGAGAGAGAGAGAGAGAGAGAGAGAGAGAGAGAGAGAGAGAGAAGGGGGGAGGGAGGGAAGGGGAGAGAGAGAGGGAGAGAAAGAGAGAGAGGAGGGGGGAGAAGAGAGAGGGGGAGAGGGAGGGGAAAAGGGGGAGGGGGGAGGAGGAGGGGAGAGAGAGAAAGAGACAGAAAGAGCGAGAGCGAGCGGGTCCCGGGCAGTCTGGGCCGACAGCCTCGCTCCCGGGTCCCGCGCCCCGAGGGGAGCGCGCGCTCCTCGCGGCGGCGGAGCGGCCTTTGTGCGCCTGCGCCGCCGTTGCCTGGCGCCCGCGGGCTGGGGACGCGGGTAGAGGACGACCCGGTGCAGGCGACACGGCCGCCGGGACTCCGGAAGCTCACCCTTCACCCGGAAATGGTTGTGGAGGAAACATGGCGCTGCTGGTGCGAGTCCTTGTGAGTGGAGGGATAATTCGTCCGCGGGCCGGGGTTGGAGTCGGAGAGGACGGGGTGGGAGAAGCTGGAAGGAAGTGCACAGGGGGAGTCTGTGCGGCGGCCAGGCTGCGCAGCCGCCTCTCTGCGGGGAAACTGAGGCAGCTTCCCACCATCCGGTAGCCTTTTTGGCCGTGGTTTTACCCTCATAGGAGGAGAGGGAGAGTGACATCGGACCTAAACCCGGTGCAGTTAGGTTTTCCTCACTCGCCACCTGTGATCGCTTCCCCCCGGGCAGAGGCAGCACGTGGGGCAGTGGTTTGAGTTTCGGGAGACAGGGTTCCAACCGGTCCCAGTTCTGTCGCTGAGGGACCGTGTGACGTCGGGCACGTCACCCCGAGACCTCAGGAGCCTGACGTGAAAAATGAGGACGTTAGTCGGCGGCCCTTTAGGATTCTGAGGTTTCCTGGGTTTGTTTCAAGAGATCAGTATGTCAGTTGTTATCTACAGTTACGTGGAAAACTATTACAGATTATTAAGGTGAAAGCTGCACGAAAACTGAGGTCATACCTGTCGTTTCCACTTTGCCTCGTACAGTGCCTGGCATATCATATTTGTTGAATGAATGAATGAAGAATGGAGTAGGGAAGGACTGCTAGACTAGGTAGCACCTTTAGGGGAAGCTACTGCCCTTGTGATTCAGTCCGGATCCTTCTAGCATACTATGACCTCTGGGAACTAAAGGAGAAAGAAAGTGGCAGCAGAAAAAGGTTAGGAGGATACAGAACTTAGTTGCTAACCATGGAGGGATGGGAGAGTATAATTTTAGCAAGTCTTTCAAAACCTGAGTCAAGGACATTGGTTTTTCATAGCTGAGACTGCCTGTTCTTGTCCCTGGTTGTCTTTTGAGTTGTCATTTTACACTTTTCTAATATTTAACTATGTGGCTTACAAGGGCTGCAGTTTTACTTATATTTCTTCTCAGCCTAGCAAAGTGCAGTGCCCAGGATTGCTGCTCAGTATATATCTGTTTGAAGGTAGCTTTTATAACCTACAGAAAGATTCACTTGGCAGAGTAATTGTTGATGCAAGAGCAAAAATTGATTCAGATCAGGACTGCTGAGGAAATGATGACTGGGATGTCCCAGGTTACTTAGTTGTCTCTGTGTGTGTGTTTTGCTTTTTAAGTATATTTTTTGTTGACTTCAGAGAGGAAGGAAGAGGGAGAGAGATAGAAACATCAATGATGAGAGACAATCATTGTTGGCTACCTCCTGCATGCCCCCTACTAGGATTGTGCCCACAGCCTGGGTTTGTGCCCTTGACTGGAATTGAATTCGGGACCCTTCAGTCCATAGGTTGATGCTCTCTCCACTGAGCCAAACCAGCTAGGGTCCAAGTTATTTAGTTTTTAAGATGGATACTTGGGGGAGGAGATGAAAAGTTTATTGGGCTATCTACCTGAAATGAATCTCTTGGTTAGTTTTGGAAGTTAGCGGATGCCCCAGTTATCTTAAACACTCTTCTTCCAGAGCATGTGGACTGTTTCAGGTTCATTTCTTCTTAGGTGGTAGCATCCATAGAATCTACTTCTCTGAGTGGATTCTGTCAATTGGATCTGTCCTTTAATAGTTGGATCACCCCTATCCCCATTTATCCCTTTCTAGTAATCATTTTAGGGGGAAAATAAGTTTAGATAAGGAAAGTCACTTTCACTTTATACAGTGACTAGAGGCCTGGTGCATGAATTTGTGCATGGTGGGGGGTGGTGTCCCTCAGCCTGGCCTGCACCCTCTCCAATCCAGGACCCCTCGGGGGATGTCCTACTGCCTCTCACAATCTGGGACCCCTGGTTCCTAACTGCTCCCCTGCTTGCCTGATTGCCCCTAACTGCCTCTGCCTTACTTTGCACCTGGGGCCGAGGATTCCCTCCTCCGATTGGTTGCAGGCATCTTGGACCTGGGCCACCTATGCCCGGTCTAGTTGCAGCCATAGGGGATTATGGGGCGTATGGCTTGTCCCTCTCCCAGGCAGAGCTGCAGGCGCAGGCACAGTCCCTGGTACCCAGGACTGTGGGGTGGGTAGCTTGTCTCCTGGGCTGCAGACCCAGCCACTGGCACCTGGAACCATGGGGTGGGTGTCTTGTCCCTCTTCCGGGCCTCCTCCTGGCTGGTCCTAATTCCTCTCTCCCCAGTGTTGAGTGTCTGAGCCTTTATGGCATAAGGGTGTGATGATCATTTGCATATTAGCTCATTATATATAGGATTCTTTGAAGTTCTTTAAATATCTATATACATAAAAGCCCAGTGATTGGAATGATTGAATGGCTAGAACAAGAGGTGGCTATGATGTACACTGGCAGCCAACTAGCCTGATCTGGGCTCCAATCATCATTCAATATCCTGATTGGGGGTGGGGCCAGCTGGCCAACGCCTGGGGCCCCTTCCCCTGGCTGGCCCCACCCTGATTGACCCCCTTCACCCCAATAGGGAGCAGGGCCGGCTGGCCAACCAACGGGGCCCCTTCCCCCGCCAGCCTGGTATTATAATGTAACTAGAGGCTCAGTGCATGAAATTTGTGTGCTCAAGCGGGTATCCCTCAGCCTGGCCTGCACCCTCTTGCAGTCTTGGAGCCCTCAGGGAATGTCTGACTGATGGCTTAGGCCCTCAATCTGGGTGTGTGCTCTTGACTGGAATTGAACCTGGGATCCTTCATACCCAGGTTGTGGGCCTAAGCCAGCAGTTGGACATCCTTAGTGTTGCCACAGAGACAGGAGTGGCTCCCACCACCACCACTGCACTCGCCAGCCATGAGCCTGGCTTCTGGCTGAGTGGCACTTTCCTTGTGAGAGTGCACTGACCACCAGGGGCAGCTCCTACATTGAGTGTCTGCCTCCTGGTGGTCAGTGGGCATCATAGTAACTAGTTGTTCAGCTGTTCGGTCAATTTGCATATTAGCCTGTTATTATATAGGATATGTGACAGCAGTGGAAACTCCTGTAGGACAGGTTGAAAGTGTCAGTAAACATGAAAGTAGCAGATATTTATGGATCACATACTCTGAAGAGGTATTTGGGTTAGGCATGTGAGGAACTCCACATGTTTAAGAGTCCACATGTTGCCGGCACCGGTTTGGCTCAGTGGATAGAGCGTCAGCCTGTGGACTGAAAGGTCCTGGGTTCGATTCCGGTTAAGGGCATGTACCTTGGTTGCGGGCACATCCCCAGTAGGGGGTGTGCAAGAGGCAGCTGGTCGATGATTCTCTCTCATCGACGTTTCTAACCTTTATCCCTCTCTCTTCCTCTCTGTGAAAAATCAATAAAATATATTAAAAAAAAAATAAAAAATGAAGTGTCTATGGTCAACTTCATTAAAAAAAAAAAAAAGAGTCCACATGCTTAGAAATTCCACATGTTTAGGAGTCTGAAGGGCCTTAGTTGTAAGCTTAGTTCTTTTACTTATGTGGGTGACTTTTAGCAAGTCACCTAACTTCTTTGAGCCTCAGATTTTTTAAATAGTAAATTTGATAGGGTTGATTAGAGAATCAAATGGGACCAGTGATATTTAAATGCTTTTCTAAATTAAAAAATTTTGTTTTGAAGATATAAAAATTTTATTTTTAAAGTCAACATTGTAAACACTCACATACCCACTATTAGATTTTTATTTTTATTTTGTTTGTTAATCCTCACCCGAGGATATTTTTTTAATTTTTTAATTTTTAAAATTTCTTTATTAATTAAGGTATCACATATTCATCCTCAACCCCCCATTCCAATCCCCCACTCCTCCCCACTCGTGCCCCCACCCACCCCCCTATTCTCGTCCCCCCCACCCCCCCATTGTTCTTGACCACTGGTTAGGCTCATATGTATGCACACAAGTCCTTTGGTTGATCTCTCCCTTTTATCCCCACCCTCCCTTTGAGGTCCAACAGTCTGATCTATGGCTGAGGATATTTTTTCCATTGATTTTTAGAGAGAGTGGAACAGATGGAGAGAGACAGAGAGAAACATTTATTTGAGAGACACACATCAGTTGGTTATCTCCTGCATGTGCCCAACCAGGGCGAGGGATTGAGCCTGCAACCGAGGCACATACCCTTGACTGGAATTGAACCTGGGACCTTCAGTCCAAGGGCTGCTCTGTTCACTGAGCCAAATCAGCTAGGGCTAGATTTTTAAAAAATACTATTAGATCCCTGTAGTAGTTGTGGATGGATCAGAGAGAGCTGAAATTAGAGATCCCCAAAGTAAATCAGAAGGTACTTAAGTAATCCTGGAAGAAATGATAAAAGCTTATAGTAAGGGGGGAGGAACAGTATGGCTAAAGAGGAAGGTATGGTTTCAATAGAAAAGAGAGTATATAAGGGCTTGATGAGAGGTTAGATATAGAAGGTGAGGGAGAAGGAGGAATCTAAACAGTGAGTCCTTTGATAACTGAATTAATAGTAGTGTCCACTGAGAAGATCCAGCTGGAAATATATACATATATATATTTTCTTCTTTAGCAGCTGGAGAGTTGGTGTTCATGAGAGAGCGAGACAGTGCTGAGATAAAGGTTATAGTTGAAGCAAGATGTTGAGATTTCTTGGGCAATAATATTGACAGCTAACATTTATAGGGTACTTACCATGTGCTAAGCACTCTTTCATACTTTATATATGTGAATTTAATCTTTACAACAGCCCTTTGAAAAGATAAGCACCATTATTTTTTCCATTTTACTGATAAGGAAATTGAACCACGGGGTCGTAGTGTTCCTGAAACATTCTCATTAGTCTTCCTTAATTTTTTTTTTTTTTTTCAGACTTATTGGTCTATTTTATTCCCTCTTCAATGATGGGTTTGGGAAGGAGGAGGAAACTAAAACACTGCTATTTCTGAGTAGCTCCAGCAGAGGAACTGGCCTTTTGAGTAGTGCAATGGGACTTGCTTATAGTTTTACTAGAGGCCTGATGCATGGATTCATGCACCAATGGGGTCCCTTGGCCTGGACTGCAGGGATCGGGCTGAAACCGGCTCTCTAACATCCCCCAAGCAGTCACAGATTGTAAGAGGGTGGTTCTCGGGTAATGCACCCACACCCCAGAATTGGGCTCCCTCCTCTGGTTTTGGGTGTGTCACTCGGGAACCGCAGCTGCCAAGTTACCACAGCTCAGCAGCTCCTGTATTGAGTGCCCTCTGGCAGTCATTGTGTGTCATAACTACCAGTTGGATGGTTGCTTAGGCTTTTATATAGATAGATAGATGAGCTGTCCTGGACATTGGCGATCATTTTTGCTTTTCATTGACAATAGTAGAAATTACAGAAAGGCACTCTGTACTTTAAACATTTTTTAGTAAAATATACATTACATAAATGTATCATTTTTGAGTATACAGTTGAGAGCATTAAATACATTCATGTTGTGCTACTATTACCATCCACCTTTTTCATCTTACAAAACTGAAACTGTACTCAGTCAAGGGCAATCGCCATTCTACTTTCTGTTTTTAAGATTTTGACTATTCAGATGAATGGAATCATACGGAATGTGTCCTTTTGTGACTGGATTATTTCACTTAACATAATGCCCTCAAGGTTTATCCATGTTGTAGAATGTGTCAGAATGTTCTTCCTTTTTAAGACTGAATACTATTCTATTGTGTATGCCAGCATATATCACTTTATGTTTACTCATTCATCTGTCAATGGACACTTGGGATACTCCACCTTCTGACTATTGTGAAATAGTGTTACCATGAACATGGATATACAAATATCTGTATATTTGGTCCCTGTTTTTACTTCTTTTGTGTAATTATTGGAGTGTAAGGAAATGTTTAAGTTTTTGAGGAATTACCACTTAATTTATTACAGAAGCTGAACTATTTTACATCCTACTAGCAAAACACAGAATTCCAATTTCTCCATGTCTTCACTAATACTTGTTGATTTTGTTTTCATAGTGGCCATCTTAATGGGTGTGAGGTGATATCTCATTGTAATTTTGATTTACTTTTCTCTAATGACTAGAGGCCTGGTGTGCAAAATTCGTGCACTTGGGGGGTGGTCCTCAGGCCAGCTTGAACCCTCTTGCAGTTCGGGAGCCCTTGGGGGATCTCTGGGCCTAAGCTGGCAGTCCAACATACTTTGCGCTTCGGGAGAGGCTCCTGCCACCACTGCTGCACTTGCCAGCCATGAGCCTGGCTTCTGGCTGAGCGGTGCTCCCCCTGTGGGAGCACACTGACCACCAGGGGGAAGTTCCTGCGTTGAGCACCTGCCTCCTGGTGGTCAGTGCATACCGGTCGTTTCGCCGTTTGGTCAATTAGCATATTAACCTTTTATTATTAGGATTGGTGATATATAGGATTGGTGACGTTGAGCATATTTTATATGCTTGTTGGCCTTTAAAATTATATCTTTAGAGAAATGTTTATTCAAGACCTTTGCCCATTTTTTAATTGAGTATTTTTTTTTATTATTGATGAGTTGTAGGAATTCTTCATATATTCTGAATATTAATCTCTTATCAGATATATGATTTGGAAATATTTTCTCTCATGCCTTTTCACTTTGTTGGTAATATTCTTTGATGTACAAAAGTTTTTAATTTTGATGAAATTCAACTTAACTCTTTTTTTCTTTTGTTGCCTGTGCTTTTGGTGTTATATTCAAGAAATCATTGTCAAATCCAATATCATGAAGCTTTCCCTTATATTTTCATAGTTTTAGGTGTTAAATTTAGGTCTTTGACTTCCCGGTGTGACGCATTTGGTTGGGTATCATCCTGGGCACAGAAAGATTGCTGGTTCCATTTCTGGTCAGGGCACATGCCCATTTGCATTCTTTTTTTTTTTTAATATGTTTTATTGATTTTACACAGAGAGGAATTGAGAGGGACAGAGAGTTAGAAACATCGATGAGAGAGAAACATCGACCAGCTGCCTCTTGCACACCCCCAACTGGGGATGTGCCCGCATCCAAGATACATGCCCTTGACTGGAATCAAACCCGGGACCTTTCAGTCCACAGACCAACGCTCTATCCATTGAGCCAAACCGGTCCCGGCCCATTTGCATTCTTGATTCCTAGTATGGGTGTGTAGGAGGCATCTGATTTATGTTGCACTCTCATATCATTGTTTCTCTCTTCTCCCTTCCTTTCTCCCTCTAAAAAATCAATAAAATTATTTAAAAAACAGTTTTTGACCTATTTTTAGTTAATTTTTGTATATGGTATAAAGTTTTACTATTATTTTTGTTATTTTCTTAGTGTATGCCCTGGGGATTATAATTAACATCTTAATTCATAAAAATCTAGTTTGGATAATTACTAACTTGATTTCAACAATAGTATACACAGTATAAAAGCTTTGATTATATATTGCTTTGTCCCTTCCCTCCTCTTTTGTGCCATTATTGTCATTCAAATTACATCTTTATAGGTTGTGTGCCCATCAACATAGATTTATAATTCTTGCTTTATTTAATTCTTCTAAATTAAACAATAACTACAAGCAAAAAGTACATTTAGAGCATTATAATAAATGAAATAAGCCAGTAAGAGGAAGACAAGTACCATATGATTTCACTTATATGTGGAGTCTGATGTAGATTTTTGACGGACTTTTTCTTTTTTTCTTTAGAGGAACCAGATTCCAATTAGCATCTCCCAGTGGGTTCCAGTATGCAGCTGGTTGGTACCTTTGTCTCCTACACAGGGACAGTGGGGCAGGGCTCTGTCTGGCATTTTCCAGGTAAGGTTTGTTGTTTCTTTGGTTGGTATGAAAACCTTAGTGTTTATGTGCAAATGTCATGTATTTATAGATTAGCCAAGCAAATTGTGTGATGGAAAAATCCTCATGAGACCACTCCTGGGTCTCTGTGGTGCCAGCTCAGGACTGATTCCTGCAGTATGGTGTCTAGGGCGTTGCTTCTAAATACCCCAGCAGTGGAACTTAGCCTAGGATACCATGCTACAGTCTGATGATTTTTACTGTTGGGAGTGTTTCCAGATATTCATCTCAGAGTTAACTTTTCTTCAGTTTTCTTTTTATAGACGCCTTTTATTTTTGTGGGGGGAGGGGTAGAGGAAGAATTTTTCTTTCTTTGTTTTTCTTTTTATGAACATAAAATCCAAAGAATTATTTGAGGTTTTAATTTACTATTGGCACATGATTTATTATGATGTAGTTTACTGTGGACACTCCTTGAAAGTTTTTTCCTCCTGATTTTTGTTAACCGTGAAACTAATTTAGTAATAAAGGAAATAAAAATCACTCATGACCTCAAATCTGAAAACATCTGCTGATTCTTTTCCAGTCTGTGTGTGTACTAATTTTTTCCTTAGGTACATTAACAAATATCCACAGAATTTTATGTTCTAGTTCCTTTTCATTTATTAGAGCAGACACTATTCATATTTTTGGGTAGAGTTCATAGTTACATTTTTAATTGTTACATGTCATTCTATTTACTTTTGTTTAATATTAAAATTATTTCCAAAAACTTTTGCCATTATAGGTTTTAATGCAGTTATAATTTTCTTGATACATAGTTTTTCTTATTTTTAATAATTAAAGATTGCCCTGGCTGGTTTGGCTCAGTGGATAGAGCGTTGGCCTGCAGACTGAAGGGTCCCAGTTTTGATTTCCCGTCAAGGGCATTTACCTGGGTTTTGGGCACATCCCCAGTAGGGGCTTTGCAGGAGGCAGCTGATCGATGTTTCTGTCTCATCAATGTTTTTAGCTATCCCTCTCCCTTCCTCTGTAAAAAATTAATAAAATGTATATATAAAAATATTAAAGATAAATTCCTAGGCAGGTATACCCTTGGTCAAAGGGTATGAACATTTTCTTCTCCAAAAGCTATTTTAATTTATGCTGCCACCAGCAATGTATGTATAACTAGTTTTTTATCCTTATCTCCCCTCAATTAGGTATTTAAAAAAAATTTTAAACTAAATGTTAGGAAATATTACCTTGTTTTGCTTTGCATTTATTTGTTTACCTAACAGAGTTAATTTAAACATTTTTTTCTTTATCAGTTGTATTCCAAATTGGAAAAATTATATGCTTATATAATTTCTTCATTTATTTACTGGGACTTACTTTATTTATTTATTTATTTATTTAATTTTCTTACCAATTTATATGAATTCCTTCTGTAGCCATTAACTTTCTTTTCTATATTTGATGCAGTTAAAATTATTTTTGATATAAATTACTAGTACAGATGGGCCCCCACTAATAATGATTTGACTTACGATTTTTTACTTTACAATGGTATAGAAGCAATATATGCATTCAGTAGAAACCATACTTCAGTTTTGAATTTTGATCTTTTCCTGGGCTAGTGATATGTGGTTTAATAGTCGTGTGATACTGAGCATTGGTAGCAAGCTGCAGCTCCCAATTCGCCACATAATCACGAGGGTAAACAACTGGTACTGTACAATGTATTCATTGTGTTAGATGATTTTGCCCAACTGTAGACTAATATAAGTGTTCTGAGTAAATTTAAGGCTAGGCAAAGTTATGTTCAGTAGGTTAAGTGTATTAAATGCATTTTCGACTTACAGTGTGTTTATTGGATTGTGACTCCATTGTAAGTCAAGGAGCATCTGTATATATATTTATGTATTTATCTATACTAATAAAAGGGAAATATGCTAATTAGGGCAGATGTTTTCTGGACATCCATCCGGATATCCATCTGGACAAAGCCACAGCAGCCGTGAGCCCTGGAAGCTGTGAGGGCTGGGGCTATGGCAGCCATTAGCCCCATCGGCTGTGAGAGGGGACAGGCCGGGCTGAAGGACCTCCCTAGTGCATGAATTTAAAAAAAAAAAAAATTTATTGATTTTTTACAGAGAGGAAGAGAGAGGGATAGAAAGTTAGAAACACCAATGAGAGAGGATCATCGACCAGCTGCCTCCTGCACCGCCCCCACTGGGGATGTTTTCCCTGCAACCAATGTACATTCCCTTGACCGGAATCGAACCCGGGACTTTTCAGTCCACAGGCCGACGCTCTATCCGCTGAGTCAAACCAGTCTCGGCCGAATTTTCATGCACTGCGCTTCTAGTCTATAATAATAAAAGGGTAATATACTGATTAGACTGGATGTCATTCTGGACGAAGCCAGGGCTGGAGGGAAGACCTGGTCCCAGGTGCCTGCCGGCAGCCAGAGGGAAGCTGGTGCTGGCATCTGGGGGAAGGAAGGCCTACTCTTGCATGAATTTCATGCATTGGGCCTCTAGTATAAATATAATGTATTAAGATATTTAAAATACAGAGTAATTCCCTTCAATAGTATGTAAACCTTGCCATTCTGAAGAAATGTCTTGGTTGTCCTTGTATTCCTGGGCTTCTTACTAAGCTAGACACAGAGTAGATATTAAATGTATGTTGAATGAATAAATAAAGAATATCTCAAATGTATGTTGAATAAATAAAGGCATCTACTCTGGGTAATCAGGCAGCTATTTTTTTTTTCAGAGTTGGGCTATGTTCTGTTACTTCTTTGTGCATTGAAAAATTTTAATAGAATTTATCTCAATCATTTGTTATTTGTGTGTGTATAGATGGTGGCGGGGGAGGAACTAATATGACTTTCTGACTTATGTTTCATTTTTTGAATCATAAACATTTTTGGGGTACCTGATGTATAACAGGTATTGTATTAGGCTCAGCATTATAGCATAGCAATTACATAAATAACTTAGGGTGGTTTATTTCATGCTGACAAGATGTAACTTTAGCCAATGTAAATAAATTGGACATTTTGTCATATTGACTGAAGCTGTGTATATACTAGTATATTCCCATCTTTGAGAACCCCTGGTAAGAAACCTCTGCCTCAGAATGATATTCTCAGGTGCATGTCTGACAGGCAAATTTGGCTCAGAATGAGAACTTTTGAGTTAATTAGAATTGTGGTGTAATGCATGTGTGGGTTACAGTAAATTTATTCTCATTGTACATATTGAGGCAATGGTTGGGAGACTATTTTAATGGCATGACATAAAAGAATCCTTTGGATGAGAGGTAGTATCAGGTGATATTATCTTTAAAAAGCTAGGGACATTGTACTTTCACCTCTGTCTTTCCTAAATAATCTCTTTTATTTATTTATTTATTTAAAAAATACATTTTATTGATTTTTTACAGAGAGGAAGAGAGAGTTAGAAACATCGATCAGCTGCCTCCTGCACACTCCCCACTGGATATGTGTCCGCAACCAAGGTACATGCCCTTGACTGGAATCATACCTGGGACCCTTGAGTCTGCAGGTCAGTGCTCTATCCACTGAGCCAAACTGGTCAGGGCCCCTAAATAATCTCTTGAAGTTGTCATAGTATGATGTCAGAGTCTGCTTTAAAAAAAAAAAAAATAATAATAATTTAAACATACAGGAAAGTTGTAAAAATAGTAGATACCCTTCATCTAGCTTCCTTGAATGTTAATGTCCTATCTAACCATAGTGCAATTATTGAAACCAGGAAATTAACATTGATATAATACTATTAACTAATCAACACCCCTTTTTTCAGTATTTCTCCCCCCCCCCCATGTCCTTTTGTAGTTTCTCAATATGAGTTTGTGTAATATTTTCTTATAATTAATAAAATTCGTGCATGGAGGGGATGTCCCTCAGCCCAGTCTGAACCTCTTCAATCTGGGACCCCCCCCTAACTGCTTCTGCCTGCCAGCCTGATAGCCCCCTAACCACTCCCATGCCAGCATGATTGACACCTAACTGCTCCCCTGTCGGCCTGACCACCCCCAACTGCCCTCCCCTGCAGGCCTGGTCACCCCTAACTGCCCTCCTCTGCTGGCCATCTTGTGACAGTGTGGGGGCGGCCATCTTATGGTGGCCTTCTTGTGACAATGTGGGAGCAGCTATCTGTGGTGACCATCTTGTGATAACCTGAGGGCAGCCATCTTGTGATGACATGGGAGTGGCCATCTTGGGATGATGTGGGGGCGGACATCTGGTGATGATATAGAGGTGGCCATCTTATGATGGCATGGGGTGGCCATCTTATGACTGAGGGCATGAGGGTCAATTTGCATATTATCTCTCTATTATTTAGCATTGAGGTTATGCATTTTTGGCAAAAGTTTCTTTCTCAGTGTATCATATTGGAATACTTGCTGTCAGTATGTCTTTTTTTTTTTTTAATATTTTATTGATTTTTTACAGAGAGGAAAGGAGAGGGATAGAGAGTTAGAAACATTGATGAGAGAGAAACATCGATCAACTGCCTCTTGCACACCCACTACTGAGGATGTACCTGCAACCAAGGTACACGCTCTTGACCAGAATCGAACCTGGGACCTTTCAGTCCGCAGGCCAACGCTCTATCCACTGAGTCAAACTGGTTTTGGCCAGTATGTCTTATTACTAGTGATGTTAACTTTGATCATTTGGTTATTAAATTGTTGTCTGTCAAGTTTTCCTACTATAAAGTTACCATTTTTCTCTTTTTAATTAGTAAGTATTTTGTGAGAAATCACTTTGAGATTATGCAAATATTCTGTTTCTGATCATACTTTTGCTTTCTTCATTTACCATCCATCAATGGTTCTTGTTTTAAAATGATACATAATACTAATTAATTTAAAATTTGTGATTAAAAACATGACATTAAATTTAGTCTTAACCATTTTTAATTGTACAGTTCAATAGTGTAGAGTATAATCACATTGTTGTACAGCAGATCTTTAGAACTTTTCATTTTATAAAACTGAAA